GAGTGAGATTGCCAAAGACAAAGTCAGAAAGCCCTGAAGAGCACTTCAAGTTAAATAAGAAATACGATTTTAGAGCAGTAGTTCTCATACAGTTTTTCCCCGAGGGGGCATTGAGAAATGTCCAGAGACGTTTTTGGTTGTCATAACAAAGGGTGGTTTGCTACTAGCACCTAATGGGCAGAGACCAAGGATACTACTAAACATCCCACAAGATGTTGCACAAGATAACCCCACCGCAACAAAAAGTTATCAGGTCCAGAATGTCAATAATGCCAAGGTTTTAGAAGAATCTCATAGGAGCATATCATTTGATAATATTTGAAGATATAAAGAGCACATTGGATTTATTAAAGAGACCAACATTACTCTCTATGGCAGTTTAGATTCTAAAAATACTTCTAGACACATCTGGTTGTGATTGTTCCCTCTTGTAATTTTGACCACACATTAGCTAATTTACAAGAGCATTTCTGTGGAAACGACCCCGAGCCAGTGCTCCCTCTCAAACACAGGTGTATGTGGAGAAAAAGGTCTTAACTATTGGCTACAGGTGACAGTGGTTCCTCTTAACGCCTTCACAGCCTGGGTCCAGCAATGAGAAAGGAAGCACAAATCCAGGGGTTAAAACAGTGATCGTTGTACTTCTGATTCCCAATGGTCAAGCTTTATTTTAGCGAGATCCCTAATGGTTTCTACATTTTGTTTCTATTTGTATGTTGGTGCCTGCAAAAATGTCAATAAAAATAGGTTTTTCTGTCAGATAAGCACTTATTTTCATCTCTTTAACGATCAATATTATTATCATTTATTTTTCGGCAACAGAAAAGTCTCCTGGTCTAAGCTGTTTGAGTGGACTGATCTTACCACATTAAGAGCCTTTAAGAGCAAAATTCTCAAGCACTTCTGAAGGAAGTTGAATAAACAGAGACTTGTGGGTGACCTGACTTTATCATGGAACCTGAGGACTTTGAGGACAAAGACATGTTAAGCTGGGATATAAATGATATGAAACTGCCACAGGTATGTACTTGATATAAGAATTTGCCTTCAACATTTGGCTATGAAGCCTTGACTACTAACTTGCTAAGACTTGGAAGGAAATTGATGGGGTTCCCAACTGGGTAAACTACTCCAGAGCTGGATATCCAACTAAAAAAGTTTTAGAGGATATGCCAAGACCGATGATTTGAGTGGGTCTTTACTTACCAGACTCCTCTCGTTATAGAAAATGTTACTTCCCTTTGCTTTCAAAATTGGCTTGGCTCAGGTCACACCCACCCTGGCTAGCTAGAAGTGTAAAATCCATGATGATGTATTTGCCCATAGATTGACTCTTATCATGCACAAATTCCCATACAACCTAATTTGCTACTGTAATGGTTTTAAAATAAATCTGCAATTGGAATGTCCAAATGACACTGCTGTTATGGGATACAGCATGCTCTTCTAGAACTTTTGTAAATATGATACAGTACACGCACACTGGGCTGCTTTCCAACTGTAGAATGACTTTCATTTTATGTTTTCTTGGCCTTCATTTTAGCAATTGGATTTTTAACTCTTAACTTGGTGGAAAACATCGTTGTTTAAAACTGACTTTCTTGACCTCACTTTTTAGTATTTGAAGGATGTTTTGACTACATGTTGTTTGAAAACGTAACTAGGGTCAGCTGTACATGTAACACTAAGGCTAAGACTGGAGACCACCACTACCAAATGAAAATTTCTAGCTAGTCTGCCTGATTCTGGGGAACAAGAATTCTGAATTATCCCAAGCAGGGAAGGGGTTAATGGAGACTCCTCAGTCTTGATTTTTAACCATTCCAGCCTTTCACTCGAATGACAACTTCCAAATCATTCAAAATTTTACTCTAATTTTCTTTTGTTTCTTTTTACGTTTAAATCTTTAAAAAGATTTTTTTTGTTTTGTTTCTCTTTATGTTTCTCCTTAAATTCCCCACTATGTTCCTCTTGATAGGTCTTGGAAAAGTGGTTTGCCCTACTTTCCATTCACTTAAGGATGGTTAAATAAACCACAGATACATCATGCTAATATCTATTTTAGGGATTTGTCTTTGTAGTTTCTCTTTGTCGGTTTACAACTGTTACTCCTGGTTCAAGTACCCGCATTGCTGCCTATTCCTAGTTTCGTGGTTACAACTCCCAAATAGAAGCTGGGCATCCCCAAAATCAAGAGTTAAAGTAAGCAGGTACATAGATGATTTTGCAACATCACATCCTAGAACAGGAGTTTTAACGGGGTTCGAGAATCCCCTGAAATGACAGGCAACACTGTGTACTAATGTACATTTTTTCTGGGACACAAAATCCATATCATTCATCAGATCTGTAGACAAAAGAAAGAAAGAACTACTCCCTGGAGGGAGTCTCAAGGCTCATGAAAGTTCATGTTATAACATGAATTTTCAAAACAAAAGCATTCTCAGCTACCCAAGACATGAAACTGAGAAATTTACAACAAGAGCATACATTCAGTTTTGGAAATGTATCATATATAGTTCATAGAAAAAGTTTACTTTCTCATGGAAATAGCGAAGCACCCTTCATTTTGTTAAATGTGCCAGAGAAATGATTATAAGTACAAATTTCCCTTAAAATTTTCTGAGCAGAGACAATACCATCCTCAGCTGGATTTATGTTGGCTCTGGAATATCAAGAACCAGTTAAGGTAAAAAATAAAAGGTCTTGGAAAGATTTTCAAGGACATTTAATTTTATGTTTTGTGAGCATATCTGGAGGCAGAGTGGTAAACTATGAGAAACGCAGGGCTTGGAGACAAAGCCCTGACTTCGAATTCCAGTTCTGCCTCCTTTTTATTTGTAGAGACTCAGGGAGTTGTTACCTTTTTAGAGACTACCTTTCCTTTTCTGAAAATGAGGTGGTTGCTCTAAATGAATGATCTCTTATGTACTCTTTTAGTTCTAATAGTCTAGACTCTGTGACCTGAGATTTCGAGGATGGCCTGTATTCTAGAACTCTTGGCCCAGTGACTACCACGATGCCGGGCATGTATTAAAACCATAAATGACAAATATGATATCTATTAATGAATGGCTTCATTGCTTTTAACCTGTATGACTCTAAACAGATCAATTTTCTTAAGTCTTACTTACCCCTGAATTTATAGTTTATTTTTCATAATTTTATATTCTTCCCAGGATTATTACTTCTGCAACACATGGGCAAATTCCTGCAATTTCGTAAACAAATTCCTTTCCTCTTAATCTACTCACGTGCTTCAAGTTTCAAGATGGTCACCTGAATGCTAATTGCATCTTCTGGTCCCGGAAACTCCACATCCTTTTACATGTCTCAAATATGTTAAGATTTATGGGTTAGTTTTTGACAACAGTGAATGTCGATGTCTTTATCAGAAAACCAAACAGTTTTGAGTGACTAAAATGGGCCAGACACTATAACAGGCTCAGGAATATAGAAGCCATTGAGCTGTATTAACTTCCATGAAAGTGCCCATGATTTTCTGAGCTAATGAAACAAGATCGGTGCCCAAATAGAGAATCAATGCCATGTAGAAAAGTACTAGAGGTGCTTGAAAAAGTAAGTATGGAATTCAGCATGATTTGGGCAGGGAAAGCAAGGCAGAGCATCTGGCAAAGGGCTGTTTTTTCAGAAGTGCATTCATTGTAAAATGTGGGAGGATTAAGGCAAGTGAAGAAAGCAATTGAGAAAGCAGGGCTCAAAGTCTGCATTTGCGGGAGCTTGTGCACAGGTGTTCAGCAAGGTGATTTGGGAGGCTATGGACTAGAAAGGTGGTTTGGAAGCAGGCAATCCTAGAAAAATTCAGTTATTTTATAGGCAGTGGGAAGCCATTAGGCTTATTGGGCCGGAAAGCATCATGATCAGATCTAGGACTTAGAAAGACGACTTACCCTCAGTAAATCATCCCTTCCCAATTTGTTTCATGTGTGATTCCTCCTTTTTCAGCTGCATATGTGTCTTTACAAACCATTTTACTTTTTTCTAGTCACTTTTCTAACTTGTGGTTATTTTGATATCATCTCTCCTTAACCCAGTCTCCAAGGAACCAGCCAAAATTTCAGGCACTTAAGTTACTCAAAACCGTCATTTATAAAAGTCCGTTTATTTCTGGCCAATGTAATACACCAATCTTATATTTTGAAAGTTCAGACATACTTGCTTTAGGGTTTGTTTGGTAAAAGCAGCAAATGGATGTTCATTACATAATCTCAGAAAGTGTCACACTTTTGTTTATATTGATTATAGTATTTGAGAGCCTTGAAACCCTAAGAATTTTTTTTAAGTTTTTTGGTTGAAAATTAAGAAAAAAATCAGTTCCCTTTTCTCCTACATATACCCACTTCATTCTTAACTCCAGCCAGTTTCTCTAAGCAAAAGTATAGGATGTTCCAACAACACCACAGCAGACAAACACCTTGAATTATTTTGTTCCTGAGCAGTTTTCAGATTAAACCCATGGCCAAGCCACACCAAGTCATTAACTTACAAAATCTAAGATTTAAGTATTATTTTGTTGAGATAAAATAACGATATGTGTAGGCTAAATATAAATTCAGACAAACCTAAAACCTAAAACCTTTGTCAATGACAAAGAAGTCACATCTCAGATTAGCTAATTCCTGGACCATGATTTTAGCCAGCAAAAATTTCCTTGGCCTTTGCAGGGGATGAGCCCAAAACTGTGAGCAAAGGGGAATTTTTGAGCTCTTTCTGTGAATTCGTGTTGTTAAATGTAATCAGGAAGGAGCTAGTTGTAGTAATCTTTGTGTCTTGGTGCTAGGGAAGTAACAGGTAAACTGCCTTCTAGATTTCTTGTAATTATTATCTGGCTGCATGATCAGGTCACATTGTCACAAAGTCATCCATAACTTAGTCAACTTTGCCCAGTATTCTTGATCATCTTGAACTTCTTAGGGCAGCATCACCTATATGGGCTCCCATAGTCATTTGGTCCCCCACAATTGGGGCCAGAATTCTGCTATCCTGTGCCTCTGGTATGATGGGGATGGGAATATTACTGCATCTCTTCTGGGTGCCTATCAAGAGGTCCCTTGCTTAGTGGGGTGGAGTGGGAAAAGGAAGAGAGAAGAGGAAAGAGAAGTGACAGAGAGAATTCAAAAGCTGAGATGCTCTGGCTCACCTTAGTGTCATGTGAGCAAATTAGGGACTTTTTGTCCTGAGTCTTGATCCCTTAACAAAGGAAGGAAATGGCAGGTCTAAGCAGTAATTCTTAACTTACCTAAAAACATTTTGTTGCCTTGAATTCCTCTCTTTGATAACACTTGGAGTTTGGCTTCCAGTTTGCTCAAAAAAAATAAGTTCTTGAAAATTTGTATGTAAAACAAATGCTGGTTGAATTTGTTTTCTGTGTTCCATAAATAACATCTAATTTTTTCCCCTCTATCTGATTTGCTTAAATATGTATCTGTTTGCTATCTCTGTTTTATTTGGAAACATTTATTTATAAGGAATTAATAAGCTTTTCTCATAATTAAAGAAAACCTAGCAGGTAATTGCTTTATATGAGAGCAGACTATATTCCAAATGAAAATCAATTTAATATAACATAATAATGTATTTTTGATACCTTATTTCAGAATTTTGGTTTTATTCATTTTATGTAATAATAGGTATTTAATTCTTAAAGTGCCCTATTAAAACTTTAAGTAGTTAAGTAAATTAGAACGAGGGGAAGATAAAAGGTGATCAATGATTACATAGAGTTTCAAAGAGTTTAAGTGAGTTAGAGGATTAAGTCTCTTAGTAAAAAAAAAAAAATACACGCAGAAGTCATAGACACTAATTAAACCCCCAGTGATATTACCGATGGGATTATAAAATATAAATTAGTTAGATTTACATGTTGGACACCTTAAGAATATTCCCTTTAAATTATAAACTTCTTAACCAAGAAGAAAAACAAACAGTTACTCATGAAAAGTTAGAAATTAAAATAAACAAAAGATCTAAAAAGGGAAATTATTTGGTGAGGATGTGCTAAATAAGATTAAGAAATGATTATTCTTTCTTTTAAAATTTGATCTTTCCTGGTGCCTTAAATTTAAAAGGCTTTCATAAATCTCTGTCATTCATTTGACACCTGGATTCCTTTGCATTATTATGATCTGGATTTTCTCTTAATTTCAGTGTCAAAAGATGTCAAAGATTTGTAGCTGTATACTAAGCATGCAGGACAAAAGATGGTATAAATAAACAGCCAAGAGAATAGCATGATGTGAACACACTCCTAGTAATTTTCTCAAGTCAATTGTATTATTAATAGAACTGGAAAACTAGGGTGCCAGGGCTGTTGGGGAAAAAAAAGCTTAAACAGAAATCAAAACTCCTCTACAACAGGAGGGCACACACAACCCACCAAGGGGTACACCTGAAGCACCTGGCTTACGTGACCAGGAAGACTGTGCCTCTGATCCCCACAGGACACCTACTGCAGTAAGGCCACTATTTAAAGACCAGGAGATGCAGCATCTCTGCCTAATACATAGAAACAAAAACAGGGAGACAGCCAAAATGGGGAGACAAAGAAACATGTCCCAAATGAAAGAACAGAACAAAACTTAAGAAAAAGAACTAAACAAAATGAAGACTGGCAACCTCAAGATGCAGAGTTCAAAACACCGGTTAAAAGGATGCTCAATGATCTCAGTGAGAACTTCAACAAAGAGACAGGAAACATGAAGAAGAACCAGTGAGAAATGAAGAATACATTAGAGGGAATCAATAGTAGATTAGATGAAGCAGAGGATTAAATCAGCAATTTAGAAGATGACGTAGCAGAAAATATCCAATGGAATAGCAAAAAGAAACAAGAATTTTTTTTTTTTTTTCAAAAAAGGATAGTTTAAGGGGCCTTTGGGACAACATCAAGTATACCAATATTTGCATAACAGGGGTACTATAAGAGAAGAGAAAAAGCAAGGAACTGAAAGCCTTGAAGAAATCATGACTGAAAACTTTCCTAAGTTAGTGAAGGAAATAGGCATACAAGCCCAGGAAGCTCAGAGACTACCAACCAAGATGAACCCAAAGAGGCCCACATCAAGACACAGCATAATTAAAATGCCAAAATTTAGTCTATGGCTATGCCACCCCAAATGTGCCCAATCTTGTATGATCTTGGAAGCTAAGCAGGGTTGGGCTTGGTTAGTACTTGGATGGGAGACCGCCTAGGAATACCAGGTGCTGTGGGTGTTAAAAAACAAAAAACAAACAAACAAAAAAACAAACAAACAAAAAAACATAAAATGCCAAAGTTTAAAGACAAAGAGAGAATCTTAAAAATAGCAAGGGTAAAGCAGTTTGTTATGTACAAAGGAGCTCTCATAAGACTGTCAGCTGATTTCTTAAGAGAAACTTCGCAGGCCAGGGAGATTGGCAAGAAATATTCAAAGTGATGAAAACTAAGATTCCTCTCCTCAGCAAAGCTATCATTTAGGATTGAAAGGCAGATAAAGAGCTTCCTAGACAAGAAAAGCCTAAGGGAGTTCATCAGCCTCAAATCAATATAACAAGAAATGTTAAAGGGACTTCTTCTTCTTTAAGAAGAAGAAGGAGGAAAGATAAAATGTATGAATAATGAAATGACAATAAATACCTATCTATCAACAATTACTTTAAATACAAATGGATTAAATGCTCCCATCGAAAAATACTGAGTGGCTGAATAGATAAAAAAACAAGGCCCCTACATATGCTGCCTGTAAGAGACTCATTTCAGACTAAAAGACACAAACTGAAAGTAAAGAGATGGAAAAGACGTTTTATGAAAACGGAAATGAAAAAAAAGCGGGGGTAACAATACTTATACCAGACAAAATAGACTTTTAAAACAAAGGCAAAAAGAGACAAAAAGGATCCAGCAATTCCACTTCTGTGTATTTATTAAAGAAACCCAAAACACTAATTCAAAAAGACATATGCATCCATATGTTTATTGCAGCATTATTTACAATAGCCAAGATATGGAAGCAATCTAACTGTCCATCAATAGATGGATGGATAAAGAAGATGTGATATGTATATATGATGGAATATTACTTAGCCATAAAAAAGAATGAAACCTTGCCATCTGCAACAACATGAATAGACCTAGAGAGTATTATGCTAAATGAAAAAAGTCAGGCAAGAAAGACAAATACATTGGTTGTGTGTGGCCCTAGATTTAGCAGAGTAACAGCTAACGCTGAAGTGGAAATTACTATGTGCCAGACACCATTTTAAATGTTTTATGTAAGTTAACTGATTCAATCCTCATAATATCCCTGTGAGGTAGGTATTCCTGTTACCTCCATTTACAGAGCAGGAAACAGGGGCACTGAGAGGGCAAAGAACTTCATTAAGACTGTTTGCCTCCATTGGCCATGCTCTTAGCCAGGATTTAGCAAACTTTCTATAAAGGGCCAGATAGTAAATATTTTAGCTTTTGTGGGCCATTTCTACAATAACTACTCAACTCTGCAATGGTGGTATAAAAGGATTCACAGACAACAGTCAGATGAATAAACACGTTGTGTTCCAGTAAAACTTTATTTATCAAAATAGAGAGCGGGCCAGATTTGGCCCATGGACCCTAGTTTGCAGACCTGAGCTCTTAACCACTAACCTTTCGTGTACATAAAATCTCTCATATTTCCTCTGACCCACTTCAGGTCCCATGACGTTCCATTCAAATAACACAACTATCATTACATAAGACTTACAGTTCTGCTCTTTACAGTACTTTTTGAAGTGTGTTTTATCAATGTCTCCATTTCAGAGAAGAGCAAAATGAGGCTTCAGAGACAACATCATTTGCCCAGAGTCTCATGTTACAAAGTCCTTTGGAATGTTCTAAACTTGAAATCTAACTCAATAAATACTAATAACCTGATAACTCCTTCTGATCCTTCTAGAATCTTCTAGTCCGATCTTCTAGAATTTTAATAAAAAATGTTCTTACACCGTGCCAGGTCTCTGGAAGCTGTAGGGATGGACACAGCCCATTTGACTACTAAGACTGCTTAATGATTATCACTCTAAGAACTAGGTGGGATCTGTCAAATGCAGCATCTGTGTACCAAAGCAGAGGCTAAGGAAAGTGAACCACACATCAGTGACTAATATTTATTTAGCGCTCCCTCCATGCTAAGTGCTATGCTAAGGATTTTTTATATATTATATTCAATTATCAGAACTATTCTTGAGGTAGGCAGATTTTGTTATCCCTATTACACAGATAAAGAAACAGAAAGCCAAATAACTTATGCTATAATGACTGAGTGTCTTAGCCTGGTTAAGTGTTAACACACAGGGAACGTGCCAGTCCTGGGCAAGAAGATAGAAGCTTCCAGTCAAACGAAATTCTTCTTTACTTTTCTTCCTGTTTGGGGCACATGAATATGGGAGTAGAGGAAAAAGGAATAAAGTCTCCACAGGGGAGGAAGTGGCTCTCGAACCTTCCTACACCAGAGCCCTCCAGTCTTCCCAACTGCTGGCGACTTTGCAGAAACCCTTAACATTCTTTTTTTGTTTTTCTCTCTCTCTCTTTTTTTTTTATGTTGACATTGGTTAATGAAATCCAGTAAGTTTCAGGTGTATATATTATTAATAAGGTAACTACACTGTGCTATGAGACATTATCTCACCATCCTGCCACAGTGTTTTCCACATTAATTGTATCAGAGTACATTACTTCGCCCTCAAAAATTCTTAGTGAGAAATAGTCATAACTCTTATCACCAAGGACTAGAGAAACAACGATCGGTTAGAACTCTGAGGGACTAAATTACAACTCGTTTAGGTCCAGGGAGCAAATCTTTGGGAGACACAGCAATCATATCACCACTACTGTGCCATGTTCTCAGATCCCACCATCAGAATTAAACCCACGGGGTCATGGCCAAAGTTCTCTCACGCAGCTCTTGAGTGCCAAAACAACCTTCACGTCCCTTGACTCTACAGTGATGGATAGTTTTGTTTTCTAGCTTAAAATCTGAAAATATTCTCTATGTTTCTGTCAGAATGTAAAAAAGATTGACTGGTTTCAAGAATGGCCAGACTCCTATGAGAAGTTCATCTACAGCTCAGAGGACAGGAGTGCACAGCGGCACTTGAGCAGCTGGGCCATGCGCAACACCAACAACCACAACTCGCGCATCCTCAAGAAGTCCTGCTTGGGCGTGGTGGTGTGCGGCCTGGACTGCTCTGCCAAGGAGGGCCGCAAGATCTACTTGAGACCTGCAATCTGTGACAAAGCCCGGCAGAAGCAGCAGAGTAAGTGGGGCTCCCTGGCATTGGAGAGGAAGCTGGCATTTATTCAAATGCTCCTGCCCAGATGGGCCACTACATTCCAGTATATACCAAGGGCCCAGCCTTCACATTGGAGCATGGTGGAGACCAAGGCTGTTCCTGTGTAGAACATATTAAGGAGAGTCTACCAACGCCCTCAGACCCCATGGGGGACTGCCCCACAGATCTGCCATAACGCACCATTAAAACTGCTCATTAGGTTAAGGCACCTGACTCAAGGCCTCTGTTAAAAAGGAAGATGCCTCCCTTATAGGACTAACATTAATTCATCGGCGCACACACAAAAAGTTTAGGAGAAACTTGTTTATTAGACTGGCCTTCTGACATTTTGAGGAATGTATCTCAATGAGCGCTTTGATCTGAAGCGAGAGCACTGGGATTAAATTTGAGATTAGACTCAGTTCCATGGCATGTAGGTTCATGCCATTATCACATGCTGAAATATGTGCTCATTTTCTTTTTATCATATTCATCAGATTGTGAAATAGATGCATTCTACATTCCCTGTGCTTTGCCCACTTCAGACCTGAAGTTACTTCATGTTCTTTCATTGTAGCTTGTCTTCAAGACTTGCTCTCAGGGCAGGATCTGGTATCAGTCGTTTACATGTTACTGAAAATTTAGTAGCTATGTTCTCTCTCTCATATGGGTTTGCCCCTTGTTCCTTAGTTGTAACAGTGAAGTAAAAGAATTTTTTCTTTTTCTCGACGAAAAATTTCAAGTATCAGTAAATAAGTAGAGACAGATTTTCTGCTCAGAAGAGCTCTCCCCTGACCTGTGAAATATCCAATTCTGTAGGCAACCGCTTCCTCTACCCACATGTGAGACCAATCTGGACCATTATGGTAGCTGGGTCTTCTAGGGCCGGGGATAATGCCCAGTGGATGGGAATGCATAAAACTGTGCCCAGGTGGATTTTCTGCCACCCTGGAGTCCGGGCTAACACAGTCTGGACTGCACGGACTCAGGAGTCAGCTGGTATGGCTCAGTCAGGTGTGATCACCTTCCTCTGTTCTTTCGTAGGGAAACGCTGTCCCAACTGCGATGGGCCTCTGAAGCTAATTCCTTGCCGAGGCCATGGGGGCTTCCCAGTCACCAACTTCTGGAGGCATGATGGACGCTTCATATTTTTCCAGGTTTGATTTGAGTTAGAGTGATAAGATGCTATTTCTCTTTAATTCAAGAAATGTCTACCGAGTACGAGGAGTTTCATGCAAGAGATGCACAGGCAAATGAGAGCCAGCACCACGCCTGAGGGGAAGTTGCCCGCATGGCATAATCCCTCTGTGCCTCAAATTCTCATTCTGTAAACTGGAGATGATAATGATGGTTTGTACCTCATAGGGTTGTGCTGAGGGTTAAATGAGATTGTACATAATAAGCGTTTCTTGTTATCACTATACCATTTGAGTAAGAGACACCATGAAAAGAAGGAGCATCGTAAGCAAAGGCAGGCAGGCAGGAAAGCTCACGGTGGGCTCAGCAGGCACTTAAAAGGTTTAGCAAACCTTGTTACAACAGTCAACTGTAACAACACCCAGTCAGATGGTAGGACACAGGGTAAAATTTTACACACTACAAAGTACTAACTAATTATTTATTCTACTTCTTTGTCTCCTTTAAGTCAAAGGGAGAACATGATCACCCAAAACCAGAAACCAAATTGGAAGCTGAGGCAAGAAGAGCAACGAAGAAAGTGCACACAATCCCTTCCTCCAGCTCCTTAAAGGCAAACAGGGGCCGAGAGGCAAAGGTAACCTTTCCCCATGTGTGTTCAAAACATAACAATGACTCATCGCCCGTATGGTGGGGCAGTAGATTTCTCCAGTCCCTCACCAGCAAAAGAAAGCCAGAAATCACATCCTGTCAGGGTCATCGATAAGCAAGCATCTGCCACAGAAACTGAACCTGAGGCTTTCCTCTTGATTTCTACCATTTTTTTAGCATGCTCTCAACCATAAATTATATAGAATTTTAGAATTATTTTCCCTACTATGTTAAAAAAAAAAAAAAGAGGCTGGAATTAGTATTTAACCTATATTTGGCGCTCTATATTTGAAATGATCTCCACAAGTATTAGCCTCATGCTTTTTTCCCCAAATTTTCATTTTTTCCTAAAATAGATTACACTTGGCCCGTCAACGATGCAAGGGTTAGGGATACTGATCTCCTACCACTAGCAGTGGAAAATCTGCATATAACTTTTGACTCCCCCAGAACTTAAGTTGTCCTTTGGTATCTATGGGGGATTGGTTTCAGAAACCCCTGCAGATACAAAACTCCACAGATACTCAAGTCCCTTTTATAAAATGGTGTAGATCAGTGTAGAGAGTCGGCCCTTTGCATCCACAGACTCCCAACCATGGATAGAAAACAGTACACATGTAAGTGGACCAGTGCAGTTCAAACCTATGTTGTTCAAGCGTCAACTGTGTATTTCCTTAACACACTTTACCAAGATGAAATATTCAGGCAGTTTCCAAAAACAGCAGTCATTGAAGGTAGGGGCTTGGGGCAGGGGGTGTGGTTCATGGGTTTGTCTGCTTAACAGTGATAGCAAGTCTTATACTTTTTCAGCTGTTCAGTGCGCCACATTTTTTTTTTTTTTTTTTTAGAACAGAAATAGAGCCAGTCCATCCCTGGGGGCTCTAAATATACCTTACATTTTTTTTAAAAAAAATGTAACTTTTGTCTCTTGGCAGGAAACATGAGCCTCAAATCCAAATGACTAGTCCCTCATCCCTTCTCTCAGCCATGGAATAAGTTAAAAGGCATCTCTTCCCACTCACCCTACCTGGTCACAGTCTCTCCACCTCCATCCTCTTATTAGTTGATAGTTTTACATAAACAAGAGGATAACTTAATTCTCAACCAGATTCTTTCCTATGATTAACTGGAGGACAATAGACTTCCTCCATTTATAAAAATAAATTTACCACTTCATATTCTAGAAGTCCTACTTATGATTAAACAAAGTGAATTCAGGGAATAGTCTTTTGAGAAGGAAAATTGAAAATCCTAGTCTCTCGGACTCCTAATGGCACTAAAAAATAGAGAAGTCAAGGGGAGCAATAATGAAAGAGAGCAAGAGACAGACAGACAGACAGAGATCCCCTGGGAGCTGTACTGGGTATAAGATAAATCTTAGAAGCTGTAGTTTGACTTTTCTTAAATAGCCTCTTATAAATTTCTCACAGAGGCTTTCAGAATATCAGATTTGCATCTGAGGGTGAAACATTTTAAATACACTCATGTCAGAGTAAAGGGAAAGTTAGCTCTAACTGGTTAGTAAGTTTTAAAATGGAAATAGAAGCAGTCTTTACTTCTTTCAGGTCCTGAGTTCTTGCGGTGAAGCTGCTCTATGTTTTTGCTTCAAGTATGTAAGGAATGAGGAAACTATGACAGAGCACTTATTTGCACAGAGTAACTTGTGGGTGCCTGGGGTAGTTGTGTCAATTTGCTTAACTTATTAACACAAGTTTTTCACTTCCCTTTCCAGTCTCTTCCAGGTGAAACACAAAGTTGGGGAAATCTACCTTTAACTTGGTCTTTCCAGGAGAGCATCCAATTGCCTGGCAGTGACGGTGGACATTTAATAGCTAACACTCCCCAGCAGAAGTCACCAAATGATTGCTTATTCAAGAGTTATGGTTTGGGGGGAACCACTGATCTGGCAGACCCCACTTCCACCTTGGGCCCTACTGAGCTCTATGAGAAATACAAAGTGTCCAATAGTCGAATCTACAGCAGTGGAGACCTGCTTCAGCCTCCTGTCTCTGGAGTCCTCTCTGATTACGATGATCTGCAAACATGGAATAAAAACGCTGCTTTTGGGAGAAATCCTCTTAATGACAACAGTTGTCCCAATTACCCCTTTCCTCAGACCAGTTGGCCTTACGACTTCTCCCCTTCCCAGAATTCTGCAGAATCCATTCCCCAGCAGATTCCATTGGAACCACCTGTAGCCAAAACTAGCAGTCACCCAATATGGCCAAATTCAGGGAGTGAGCTTTATGATGAGAAGGTGCATGTGGATTTTAACAGCTACTATCCTTCCACTGCATGCCATTCACCTCAGGAAGACCCCTTTCTCTTCACTTATACCTCTCATCCTTACCATCAATATTCACTGCCAGGCAAGAACAGCAAATGGAATTTTGATGAAGAAATGAGGTGCATGGGTTTGGAGCATTGCAAGAATGAAATGCTTCTAAATCTCTGTCCTTTAAGATAATCCAAATCTGAACCGCCATGCACCGTTAGTGTGAATGTAATCTGGTGCAGCCACTATAAAAAACAGTATGGAGGTTCCTAAAATAATTAAAAGTAGAATTACCATGTGATCCAGCAATCCCACTTCTGGATATATAGCAAAAGAAAACAGAACCTCTATTCTCAAGTGATATCTGTACCCTCATGTTTATTGCATCATTACTTACCACAGCCAAGACATGAAAACAACTTAAGTATTCATTGATGGATGAATAGATTAAAAAGTTGCGATATATACATATGTATATATATATACACATATATGTATTGTTTATGTGTATATATGTATATATACACATTGATTGTGTGTGTATATGTGTATACACACACACAATGGAACACTATTCAGCCATAAAAAAAGAAGGAAATCCTTAGGGCTTTAAGAGAAATAAGTCAGACGGAGAAAGACAAATACTGTATAATCTCACTTATATGTGGAATCTAAAAAACTCAAATTCTAGGAACAGAGATCAGAGGTGGAGGTCGAGGGGTGGGAGAACTGGGTAAAGTTAATTTATCTTCTGTATAAATGTCTATAATCAGATATATATTATAAAAGTATTATTTCCAAGTTATTATATTCTATTTAATATATAGTCACAAAGATTTTCTCCTATGTTATCTTATAGAAGTTCTATATTTTAGCTCTTGAATTTAGGTCAGTGTTCCATATCTAATTAATTTTTATATATGTATAAGGTAACCAGGGTTGAGCTTTATTTTATTTTGCATGTGGATATTAAATTGTTTCAGCACTATTTATTGAATCAAAGTTTTATCACAGTCTTTGGTTAAATGAATACGCAGAATTGCTGCTTTTATGATCGCTTACAGCTAGGCCATTTGATTTACTACAATTACATGTCCTGTTTTAGACAACAGTTTGTTTCTTTTGAAGTTGATAATTATATCATCTCATTGTTTAATTTTTTTATATAACCAATAACAGTTTATCCTCAAATATTGTCTAAGCAATAAAAGTCATTTTCTTTATAGTAACTCATATTTTCCTTAAAGACAGTCCTTGTAGAACATTCCATCTCTCCTCAAATGTAGCCAGATTGCTCTCTAATCCTGCTTCTCTGCTGTTATCATATTTTTTTTTTTCTCACCATCATCTGTGGACCTTCCTTCCTCTCCTTTCTCTGAGATTCTATATTTTTCTCTTTCTTGGTATATTCCCTAGTTTTGATGGAGCACACACTACACTAGTTCCCTAAGAAAAGATGGATAGAAGATAAATTTTTTGAGGCCATGTATGTTTGAAAATGTCTTCATTCAATTCTCATACTTGAGTGAGAGTTTAGCTGAGAACAGAAGTCTAGGTTGAATGTAATTTTCATTCGAAACTTTAAAGTTACTGCTCCACTTTCTTCTAGCCTCCAATATTACTGCTCAGGAGTCTAGAGGTCATTTTGATTTCTGGTCCTATGAATATGGCCTCCTCTTTATTTTTAGGAGCTTTTAGAATATTTTTGTTCTTTCTGACTAACTGAAATTTCATGATGAGCTTTGGCATGAGTCTTTTTATTTATTTGTTGTACAAGGCCCTTCTCGAGACTATTAATCTGATCATTCAGATCTTTCAGTTCTGAGACAAGTTCTTATATTATTTAAAAAAAAATTACCTTTTCGAATGGAATATTACTCAGCCATAAGAAGAGATGAAATATTGCCATTTGTGACAAGATGGATGGATCTCGAGATAATCATGCTACGTGATATAAGCCAGACAGAATAAGTTGAAAATCACATGGTATCACTTATATGTGGGATATAAAACTTAAAGCAACAAATGAACAGGACAAATAAACTGAGACTCATGGCCATGGACTATAGACTAGAGGTTTCCAGAGGGTAGGGGGCGGTGTAGGAAGGGGTAGGTAGATGGTTAAAGGGAGTCAAATATAGGGGATATGGGTAGGGCAAAGTGGGTAAAAAGGATCAAATTCATAGTAGCTGAAGGAAACTAGACTTTGGGTGGTAAACACTCAATAGAATACACAGATGTCAAATTATAATGTACACTTGAAAATTATATAATTGTATTAACCACTGTTACCCCCAATAAACTTAATAAAAAAAATAAAAATAAAATAATTACTTTTTCTTTTTCCGGCTCTCTTTTTTGGAATTTCTTTTAATTGAGTATTGTACTCCACAAATTCTCACTGAGCACCTACTAACACACTGACCCTGGGAACTAGGCTCATGCTGGCAGCTGCGCCAAGCGAAATTGTATCAGCTATGTTCACTGAGCATTGACCGATTCCAAGAACCACACCTGGATCTAGAGAAAGTTACAAGACATAATACATGACCGAAGGGATTTAAATCTATTAAGGTTAAGATAAAATATAAATAGAAAAATATAAAAGGCAACTAAAATAGGAATAAGGATATTACTAATTACTATCACATGACAATTTATTACTTTTGATATTGTTATGATCCATATGTGTAATCCATACATATGCTGTTTAGCACTTGGCTCAGATGCAAGGCTCCTAGAAATGCTCGGTGTATATAACTAACTTAGAATGACCCAAAGGTAAAGAAATATTAAAGGCCAATCAAAATCAACAATGGGAACAATTATTTTGACTTTAATGGACATGTAGTAAGAATAAAATGTCCAAAGTAGGAACTCGTTCTCCTAACTTAGGTTTATATAAAAACCTTAAAGTCATTTATTATCGAGTTCAAGGTGGCAGACCATATTTTGCCATCTCTTTTTGACATCTTCTTAAATGTCGATAATGAAGTACAAAAATTTAATGAACTCACGAGCCAAGACAACATAAGGGAGATAATAAGTGTACAGGAAATGTCAAATTTCTGGGAGATGAAAAGCTGATAGAGTGCAGATGGACCTATAATGAGAAGGCACAAGGAGGTGAAATGGAGGAGGCAGGACTCTGGAGAGGCTATGGGCTTGATGCCACTGAGCTTAAGAGTAGACATGAGAAGGACGGGGGTCACTGAAAACAGCACCAACACTTGAAAGTCCTTCTATAGATCAGCTACTACCAGTCAGCTTCTCTCCCATTCATCCAAACACAGATCCTAGGGAATAAAAAAACTAAAAAAATAAACATAAAACCAAGACTTATCTCGAAAGAAATGAAATTAACTATTCTAGAACTAAGATTTCTACTAGAGTGCTTGAACAATAAAATCCTTCTCATTCTTGCCTTTTGGGGGCCAAGATCTAAAGGCTCTCTAAAGTGAAGATAGTTTGGCATTTGATCTTGATGTTTGAAATGTAAACCCACAGATAAGAAAAAATAATCCTTGCCCACTATGTGGTCCTTCAAGGAACTATTTATACAGAAGTATTTAATAATTAAAACAGCGTTCATTAGTTTCCAACTTTTTAAATAAACCACACAAAAATTACAGAAGACCTATAAAAGTTAAAACCCAGAACATAACCATTGTAAAGTTAAAGGTATAGCTGACAGGTTAAAGGGGAAAGAAGTGGAGGAGAATTTGGATAGGGTCATTTATATCCTTACGTGGAAGGAAATCAACAGACGCTGACTGATGTTGATGGAAAATAAGAAACAGAATAAACTTGTGTATCACAGAAGTTTATCTTTGATTTCTTCCACATGCTATTTCAAGATCCTTTTCAAGATGTGTTTAGGATGTTTACCCATTTTCGTAATAACGGAAATGTAAAATAAACTACACCAAGACACATTGTACCTACCAGATTAGTAACAATCCAAAACTTTAACCACATAGGCCAGGCACTCTGACACAGTGATGATGGGAATATTAACTGATATGATCATAGGGAGAGAAATTTGGCAATATCTATGAAAGTTACAAATGAATTTACCCTTTATTTTAACAATTCCACTTATGAGGCTTATTCTGCAGATATACTGGCATATGTGTGAAATGATGAATATATCAGCTTATTCATTGCAGCACTCTCTGAGTAGCAAAAGATTAAAAACAATACAATATTTGTCAATAGGGACTGGCCAAATAAATTATGATATATCTATTCAATGAAATAGTATACAGCTGTGGAAAAGAATGAGAAAGCTCTCTCCATATTCTTAGAGAAAGATCTCCACAACATATTGTCAAGAAAAATAAGCAAGATGAAAAATAGTACATGTTGTATTGTATTTTATGTTGTGTGTTAAAAATGACAAAGAATCTACATTACATTCTTACTTGCTTGACTGTGCACGAATTCATACAAGAGAGTAGAAGGATCCACATGGAACTGGTAAATTAGGTGGTGTGTGTGTGTGTGTGTGAAAGAGAGAGGGAGGGAGAGAGACTAAGAACTATTGAGGAGAATTGAGCAGATGGGGGACAAGAATGGGAGGTAGACTTTTTACTACATACCTACATACTTCTAGTTTTGTTTGGCAATTTTTTTTAAACCACATGAATGTATTTTCCCTCAAAATTCTTTTCAAAATCCCTTTTCCATGAGCACCAAACTTTTATACAGTCCCTTGGATCCAAACTGGATATGTCTTCTCTCTATTACTCAGAAACCTTCTCACAAGGCATCACTTGCAGGAAGTTTTCTGCTAAAGAGTCTGAATAAGTTACCCTCACAAGATTTAATGTCTGCATTCTAGCAGGAGCCTCTGTGAGACAATAATTTGGCCCAGAAATGACTTGAATGGTTAAAAATATACTTTGGCAGGATGATGGGGAAATATTCTAGGACCGATGTGTGCTTTATGGGTAGTCCTCAAATTGTATTTCATTAGATTGGCCCTGGTGGTTTTATAGTTAGCAGTTCACATTTATCGAGCACCTACTATGTGCTAGGTTCTATTTTAAAGGACATTTGTTCACTTACCCACTTGAGACTCACAGCAACATTATCATCTCTATAATTTTACAAGTGACAAAACTGTGGCTCAGAAAGAGGTAACTTCCCCCGGAGGCATTTAGCTTATTACTTGGCAGAGCCAGGATTTG